AGTACTTGAAGCGTGTTTAAAAATTGCACAAAAAATAACAACTGATTTAACATTAAATAACAAGTAATATCCCAATAAAATTGAACAGATATACAAAGTAATTCAATATAATCACTTAAATAACGTACACACTTGCATTACCTAATATCTTTTAAAGTTTTGATCATCAAAATTTAAAATTTATATGTAGCTCAAATGCTAACACAGCACCCTGATTACCATGAAAGTAGCAAAAAAAGTGTTACACAACACCCTAAGATTTTCTAGAGTTGAGTATATGTATGTAAACAAGGCAAAGGTTTATTACTGTATATACTGAGCTTGCGACGATGGCAAAAGCTAACAAATCATAAATTGAACATCTTTCTGGTGTTTGTTCTAAGTGAGAAAAGTGGCAACATAGCTGTTGTCGATTTACAATATTTGTCAATTCTAAAATATTTTTTCATGGCTCAGCGTCGACACGTATGCAAGTTCATACATATGCATACATATTTACGCTAGTTTGTAGGCGAAGCTGTTACAGGGGCAAGGGAAGCGGTAACAATCGGCGATCGTTTAAATAATATATGTATATATATGTATGCCATAGAAATTCTATTGCTACAAATATGGAAATGATAACGAAAGAATGCGAATATGCATGTTTCATAAAGGTCATCAATTTTCTTTGAAGAAATGAAGTTCATTTGGCACACCTTCACTTTGTAAGAGTGGAAATAAATATAATTAGTTTGAAATATTAATTTATTTAAAAATTAAAAAAATTAAATTCAAAGGAAATAAAATTAAAATTACGTTTACCTAATTTTTCCCGATTTTGTAAAAAGAATTAAAATTTTTATAATTTTTCGGAAAAAATGGTTCTTATAATATAAAATAATCACGCATATGTGACAATGGTTCATATAATACAATATAAGCATATGTGACTCAGAGAATGATTCTTTACATTCTTTGTTTGACTTAGTGAATTTTTCTTCAAAGTATTTCTCTTTATTCATTCTCGCATGAATTCAGTCGTTTGAGCCAGAGAACGTGTTTAATTCTGCTAAATAGGAGCGAGAATGGTGAAATTCCGTATCACAATCTTATAAGTTCTGTTAGCCGTTCAATCGAACATCATACAGAATTCAATTTGCACCTTCTCTATGTTTATACATTCTCTGGCTCAACTCAGCATAGCAACAGATAACCACAAGTATAGCATGATATCACTACACCAAACAATCCTAAACAAACAAACATCAAAATAGCCTTATGTGTCATTAAACGAACAACATTAAAGAAAAATCATCCAAAGAACTTTATCTTGKAACAATAGATGTCCACTATCAGTACAACAAACAATAACAACCCAAATAGTTATTCACTAGTAAATAACTGACTTCTCAATAGTATAAGCAGCGATAAGCATAGCGTATATAAACCACTGAAACAATATACTCTAAGAGACTTTATCATTATCGACTGCCGAGTAACAATTTTTGTATACCATTTGTAAAGGTACAGTTTAAGCTTAATATATTCAATACTTAAGTACATGTGTATACTAAAGAGCTGCAAAAATACATTTGCCACTAACATGCTTGCAAGCACTCCTAGTATTGTACTCTACTCAAAATAGAATGCGAACCTTTTACAGCACAAAGCCGCTACTCTCCATTGATGCGCGGAACACAATGCTAGCGACAGACTGCAGCAGCACGACAGTGAACTGAAAATGGCGTTGTGATTCCTACTACATGAACGTTTGTGAGAGGGAGGCAACATAACAATGGCCGGCATGTACACAAAACATCGCAGTTGTCCATTTTGCATGTACACAATTTCGTTGTGGCCATACTAATACCTTGCACTTCAATGAAATTTTAATATTTTGTTCAAAGTGAAATTTTTTATGCAACAAATAAGTAAATAGGTAGATTTATTTGTTTTAAATTATCAATTGTTATTATAAATGATGTAACAGAGCTATTTTATGCTTTTATTTGTAAAATAACGTGAGTTTTGTTAGAGGTTTGAATAATATTACATTTTACATATTAGTGGCATCACCACTCGACCTCATCTCTCTATCTTCCATTCTACTGTCAACTCTACTGTCGTCCTACTGTCGTTGGCAAATATAGGATAAAATTGAAGTTAGCGAGAACGGCAACTGTTGGCCTGCCGTCGTGTAGTCGTGCAGCTGTCAAAATAGGTCCGTCCATAAGAACATGTGTATTTTAATATTTGACAGATGTCGTTTGCAGTCTATCGCGTTCATTATATTCCACACATGAGAGTGCAATTACTAATTATACTCTTTCTGTTGAACCAAATGTAGCAGAGATAATGAGATCCCCAACTCCTCTCTCAATGGAAGTGAGAGAGCAATTGCTAAACGTCAAAACCTTTTGACGTTTGCAATTGGAATGACTGGAACGGCCAGATTGAAATTATACCAAAAATATATGTGAACGGAGGAATTTATTGCCGCCGTTCAAGATCGCTAATAAAAATTTAAAATAATGAAAATCAAAGAAAATGCGAAATTTAAATATATATTATGAAAGGTTTTGTAATTTGATGTATAATAGAATTAATTTTCTATTACAAATGATTAAAAACATTTATTAATTTAGAACTAACAGGCTTAATTCACTTTATTAAGTATTGAAATATCGAAAGTCAGTTGTTTTAATATAACATAAAATCATAAAAAATGAATTAAGTAGTTTCGCCATATATTAAAAGTCCAATATATAATAATTTGCAACGTAATAAATGTTGGTGTTTTAATTTAAATGCTCAAAAATTTTTATTTTGTTCAATCTGGCCATAATAGAAAATGTTATAAAAAACGCATGTTTTGAGGCGCTCTCACACTGGAATAAGTTGGGCATTCCATTATCCCTGAAATGTAGTAAACTACTAGTCACAATCGTGAACAAAAGTTAACCGAAGCTACAGCAAAGTAGAGAAAATATTTCGTGCTGCTTGTATTACTCCCAAGTACTTTTAAATCCGAAATTAGTTTTTCTTGTTTGTGACTTGGCTGGTATTGCTTGCGCTGAAATTTTGTCATTATTTAATTACGGATATGAAACTTGATAGCGGAAGTTATTACATATATATTTATTTTGTTTCTTTTCTTATAACGTATTAATATTTGCAGTCATTTACTAACGACTCACCTGCAGCAAACATCACATTAAGTAGTAGCTTAAGTAATAGTGCCATTAGAGAAAGAATTATTAATGGTGAATTAAAAATTTCTAAAGCTACTGGGAAAAGCAAAGTTTGGAATGTATTTGGAATAGTAGTAAATGAAATTAATGAACAAAACGTGTTTCAATATATTTAAGCACTGCAAAAAATCCACCTCAAACTTATTGAAGCACAAGTGCTTTATAAAATACTCATTGGCCAATAATTGCGAAAGTATCAATAAAGTAGAAATAAGTGCAGAACGCAAAAAGCAAGCGTTGGAAATTATAACTGTAAGAGCCGACCAAACTATATGGATATGTATTAACAACCGACCTTTGGACAGACAATTTTTTAAGGAAAACGTATTTTGGCGTTTACAGTTCATTACATTATAAATGGGAATATTGTAAACCATCTTCTGGGCTTACGGTCTATAAGCGTTGAAAAAAATACAAGTAAGTAATTTTGGAATATTTAAAAATACTAGTTAATCTACAGTCATGGAAAACATGCGACACCACATTTAGGCCAATTTTTTTTGTAAACGGTGTCCATGTATGTATGTATTCGCAGAAAACCACAACTATATAACATTTTTGTTTCTATGCCTGTTGAATATTAAAATACGTTAGGACCCTTCTAGATAACAATAAACATATACATAGTTAAATACGTATGCCTGCATGTTTATACAATATTAAATTTGCGCAACATTGAATTCCCTAAAAATAAATTTTTATATATGTATGTACATATTTACTAACAGAGGCGTGTACTAATAACTAAATTTAGGTTCGCAAATAAATGTTGTTTCAATATGAAATAGCTATCGTTTGCTGAAAAAACACATCTCTTAAAATACAASTAGGTATCGAGTTAATTATGGGCGTAATCCCGTTTTCTGTTTTGTGTTAACATTTCATAAATTTTCCTTCTTTGCAATTTCATTAAATAATAGTCTTTGCAATATTTCCGAAATCTTTAGAGTAATTAAGTATTAAACTGCTTTCTTTACAGTTCGCCTATTTAGCAAAATTTTTTTTTAATATTCACTTTCGCGTGTAACCTCATAAAAGTACGTACGTGAATATTCATAAATGAATATTTCCGAACCCTTCTAAACACTGTTTGAAAATTATTGTATGTACATATACAGACATATGGAATTCGTTTTTTTTTTTGTTTTTGTTTATTAATTGCAGGTGTAAATATTCATTCAAAAGTTACCAGAATCATTGAAGGGTTCGAGCTTAGTCTGGACGGAAAGGCAATTATTGTGACGGACAGGGGATCCAATATGGTTGCTGCATTCCGTTCATATCGTCACCTGTCCTGTGTGAATCATTTGCTACATAATGTACTTCAGAAAGCGATTGAAGCGACCAAAGATATGGCGGAACTGTCCCGTTCCTGCGCGAAGCTTGTCAAATAAAATGTCTGGACAAAACTCGTCTTTAAGAAACCCCTTGAAAAGCTTCTCTCCGACACGTTTCAATACAATTTTTTATTTGCTCTTATCTATACAGAGAAATTGGGGCGAAATATTTATTATTTTGCAGCAGGAAAATAATCTAGACAAAATAAATAATATTCAGTTGCATCACTTAAATGCTATAATCGCCATTTTAGAGCCTTTCGAACAAGTATCTCAAAAATTAGAGGGTGAAAAATATGCCACAATTTAACTCATCTATGTTTTACTTCATAGGTTACCAAAAGTTTGTATTGCTGCTGTCACCGATTCCGAACCGGTTACAGAATTCAAGGAAAAACTGAACACATATTTATAGTCTGCAGTTATCGAAAATCTGAATATCATTCATAAAATTGCGCTCTTTTTATTCGTTCCTGCAAATAAACTTGTACCGTTTTCCGAAATAGACAAAACTTGTACTAGAAATGAATGTAAGCGGCTAATGGTAGAATTCACTGTAGATGCAATAAACAGTGAATCGTATCCCACGCCGTCTTGTTCTACCGAAAATAGTATATTGTTTACGGAT